GTTTTATGTGTTGTTTTTGTCTTTACTCTAGTGACATACATGCTGTATGAAAAGGTTTTATGTGTTGTTTTTGTCTTTACTCTAGTGACATACATGCTGTATGAACAGGTTTTATGTGTTGTTTTTGTTTTTACTCTAGTGACATACATGCTGTATGAACAGGTTTTATGTGTTGTTTTTGTCTTTACTCTAGTTTCATCATATCCTGATTTTTATTATTTTTCATGTAGACTTTTTGATTTTGTTCAGAATTGTATATTCTGTTATTATTTACCTGTAAAAAGATGATGAGGAGAGTGAAATGAGACACAAGAATCTTGTGGTTTTTCTTAGATCACTGCCTAAAGAGTATACATATCACAATCAATATGGAAGTGAAGATTTATCTTACTCAGTGTTCCTTAACTATAGTTCAAAATACAAATAATTAAAGTATAACAGTTAAGAGCTTGCTATTGTATTCTGTCCAACCTCAGATATAATGTCCTCCAACTACATATACTGCTCTGTGTCTAATTAACTATTAAGTAATCTAACCTCAGTTTTACACAAGTTTCTTTTTACACTGACGTACCAGTTTTCTATATGTCTGTCATTAGATAAGGTTATCCACTTTGTGGGAGAATAAAGAATGCAAGTCAAACAAGGTTCATTAAGTAATGATAAAAAAAGTGAAATATGCTCTTTCCTACAATATCAACACGCATTGTTTGATAATGATACATATATCAACATGTATTTCAATTCTCATTCCAAGTCATGGTATAAATTGATACGTGCTAACCCTAACTCAATTGTACTTATTCCAGTTCCAGCTAGGCTGAATAAAGAAATTATTTACTTCACACATTTTACAACAAGTTGTTATTACAGACTTGAAGAGCTTAACTGAAAGTTAATACCCAAGATTTAATTTTCTGAAAGCAGACAGTGTGATGAATAAATTTAACTTTTCTCATCAAACCAAAAAAAAAGCTCAATTATGTTACAATATTTTTCATTCTAATTACCTTAAATTGCATGCATTATAGTACAGATCAAAGACTATAAACTAAATTTATTTTATTTTGTTACTGTTTGATAAATTTTTAACCCTGCCACCATCATGAAACTATATTATACAAACTAACAGTATAAATATACATCCTCAAGACCAGGACTCACTGGGACAGCATGCACAAATAAATAACATAGATTGAGTGTGTAAAAAACAAACAGACTAAATGAAAATTATTTTAACATATTCAATAATAATTAATATGTCAATCAAACTCAGATTACTTGTTTTTAAGGTTTAAAAGATGAATTATAAAATCTGTAATCTTTAACGTGTGAATTGTTTAATTAATAAATTAAAATACACTACCTCAGATTTCAGGAAGTCCGAACCAACGGCAAAGGAATCAAACCCTATATAGAAATTGGTTCCTAGGAGACAGAGCAGCTATCATCCCTATATAGAAATTGTGATTCTCACTAACTACCTCAACACAGAACTAGTAAAAGACTGAAAGACAACATAAAACTAGAGTGAAACATATTTATATGACCTACATATCTCTGTAGTATTTTATCTGGAAGACTTCTTATGGTTAAATCTTCTTCATTTCTTTGTAAGTGCATCCTTTTCTCTGGAATAATTCTTGAGCTTTCTACGTTTCCATGTTGATGTGATTCATTTTCCGCAGAAGATTTTGTGGCTACTTTTACTCTTTTAATGTTTTGTAATTCTGATTCTTTTTCTTGAATAATTCTTTTGGTCACTTCTCGTGTAGCCTTTCTTGTTATCTAAAGAAAAAAAGGATAAAACAACCAACTATAATTGTTGTAATTTAATGGTGTTAAATTAACCACAATTCTCAATGCAACATTACAGATTTTACTTTAAAGTTCACAAGATAACTGAACACAAAAAATTGATCTTGTTTAAAACAAGTTATAATGACATTAATTATTCTGTTATATAAACTCTTGCAAATGGTTCAGATGTTTATGTGGTAAGGTGTTTATCTACACCAGGGGTCAGCAACCATCCAAATAAGAAGAGCCATTTCTTTAGTTTTGCCTTAGACCAAAACATTTTGAGAGCTGCAATATGCCCTAACAGTCCCCCATTGGGACAGAGATAAGTCTTCGAATTTACAATGCTAAAATCTGGGGTTCAATTCCCCTCGGTGGACACAGCAGATAGCCCGAGAGCCACACAAATCTCATTAAAGAGCCACAGGTTGCCAACCCCTCATCTACACTGTGATTTACTTTCAGAAATGTTTCCATGACAAACAACAGAAAATTTTGACCTATTGAATTAAACCTTCTTCATCTACTCTCAAAACATCTTTGTACAGTTTTGTGTTGGATTTACTGAAATGAGTTTATGTTAAGATTTATGTGTAAAGAGGAAATGAGAGAGTTGTATCATAAAAAAACCAAAACTTAAATGATTTAATAACATATATATACACACACAACAATTACTTCATTAACTTGTCAACATTTAGTATCAAATCTAGACTTACTCCGAAAGTCACAGAATAAAAAATCAAATACAATAATGCAAAAAAACTTTGCATTTATCTGTACATGGAAATTTCTCCAAAAACTCACCCACATGTATGGACCTTCTACTTCAGGATCTGAGTTTGGTAAGCTTTCCAATAAAATTTGAAATGGTATTAAGTTATTTTGCTGAGCATCTGATGCAGAACATGTGAGGTTCTCAACTTTGAAGTCTGTGAGAGCAATGTAGTCCTGAAATAGTCATAAGTTTCTGTATGGAAACATTGGGGGAGTATACATGCCAGAGATCACTGTTTAAAGAGTATACACGCCATAGATCACTGTTTAAAGAGTATACATATCATAGATCACTGTTTAAAGAGTATACATATCATAGATCACTGCCTAAAGAGTATACATATCAGGAGACAGAGCAGCTATCATCATAGGAACCAATTTGTATATAGTGATAATAGCTGCTCTGTCTCCTAGGAACCAATTTGTATATAGTTTGGTTCCTAGGAGACAGAGCAGCTATCATTACTATATACAAATTGGTTCCTAGGAGACAGAGCAGCTATCATTACTATATACAAATTGGTTCCTAGGAGATAGAGCAGCTATCATTGAGGAAGTAACTATTCCTATGTTACTCTGAAACAGCTAGAAATCGACTGTAACAGTCTTGTCAGTGATGGACGAAAGTACAACATTCATGGACTGGTTCAGCAATGTCAGATGAAAACAGCCCAAAGTATGGTATTATAAACAAGAATAAATGTGACCATTATGCTTTCAGTAAAGTTTTCTCTTTTTTTTCTCTTTTGGTTTGAACTTGTTATCAGTTTCTGAATGCTAAACCCACAGTTTCAATTTCTTTTTAAACAATAAAAGTGAATAGTTCCAGAAAAAATGTATCATTTTATGACAGGTTGTGAGATGATTTTTTAAAAGTAAGCTCTCCCCAGTTTCAGTGTTCATTACAAATAAAATTCTGGTTTACCTTTCTTAACCTAATAACAGTTAGACATTAGTTATCTGTGAACTGTAAATGTCGTAGATACTAAAGTATGAAGATAGGAGACCAGCTGTAGTAGTTGACCGTTCATTATCTGTAAGATAAATACTAAAGTGTGAAGATAGGAGACCAGCTGTAGTAGTTGACCATTCATTATCTGTAAGATAAATACTAAAGTATGAAGATAGGAGACCAGCTGTAGTAGTTGACCATTCATTATCTGTAAGATAAATACTAATGTGTGAAGATAGGAGACCAGCTGTAGTAGTTGACCATTCATTATCTGTAAGATAAATACTAATGTGTGA